TGGGCAAAAACTGGAAGCATTCCCTTTGAAATCTGGCACTAGACAAGGATACCCTCTCTCACCATTGCTATTCAACATAGTATTGGAAGTTCTAGCCAGAGCAATCAGGCAAGAAAATGAAATAAAGGGTATTCAATTAGGAAAGGAAGAAGTCAAATTGTCTCTATTTGCAGATGACATGATTGTATATTTAGAATATCCCCATCATCTCAACCCCAATCTCCTGAAACTGATAAGCAACTTCAGCAAAGTCTCAGGACACAAAATCAATGTGCAAAAATCACAAGCAATCCTATACACAAATAACAGACTTAAAGAGAGCCAAATCAAGAAGGAACTGCCATTTACAATTGCTACAAAGAGACTAAAATACCCAGGAATACAACTAACAAAGGATGTAAAGGACCTCTTTGAGGAGAACTACAAACCACTGCTCAAGGAAATAAGAGAGGACACAAACAGATGGAGAAACATTCCATGCTCATGGTTAGGAAGAATCAGTATCGTGAATTGGCCATACTGCCCAAAGTAATTTATAGATTCAACACTATGCCCATCAAGCTACCAATGACCTTCTTCACAGAACTGGAAAAAAACCACCTTAAACTTCATATGGAACCAAAAGAGAGCCCACCTAGCCAACTCAATTCTAAGCAAAAAGAACAAAGCTAGAGGCCTCATGCTACCTGACTTCAAACTATACTATAAGACAACAGTAATCAAAACAGCATGGTACTGGTATATATCCAGCAGGTAGGGAGTTGGGGAGGGATAACATGGGGAGAAATACCAGATATAGACCAATGGAACAGAACAGAGGCCTCAGGGGCAATGCCACACATCTACAACCATCTGATCTTTGACAGACCTCACAAAAATGAGCAATGGGGAAAGGATTCCCTGTTTAATAAATGGTGTTGGGAAAACTGGCTAGCCATGTGCAGAAAGCAGAAACTGGACCCCTTCCTGACACCTTACACTAAAATTATCTCCAGATGGATTAAAGACTTAAACATAAGAACCATTAAGCTACCAATGGTTGAACCCTAGAAGAACCCTAGAACACCATAAGAACCCTAGAAGAAAACCTAGGCAAAACTTTTCAGGGCATAGGCATAGGCAAGGACTTCATCACTAAAACACCAAAATCATAGGCAACGAAAGGAAAATAGACAAATGGGATCTAATTAAACTCCAGAGCTTCTGTACAGCAAAAGAAACAATCATTAGAGTGAACTGACAACCAACAGAATGGCTAAAAATTTTTGCAATCTACCCATCTGACAAAGGGCTAATATCCAGAATCTAAAGAACGAAAACTAATTTACAAGAAAAAAAACAAACCCATTCAAAATGGGTGATGCATATGAACAGACACTTTTCAAAAGAAGACATAGATGAGGCCAATAAACTTATGAAAAAAGGCTCATCATCACTCATCATTAGAGAAATGAAAATCAAAACTACATTGAGATACCATCTCATGCCAGTTAGAATGGCAATCATTAAAAAATCCAGAGACAACAGATGCTGCAGAAGATGTGGAGAAATAGGAACACTTTTACACTGGGAGTGTAAATTAGTTCAACCATTGTGGAAGACAGTGTGGTGATTCCTCTAGGACCTAGAAATAGAAATTCCATTTGACCCAGCAATCCCACTACTGGGTATATATCCAAAGGATTATAAATCATTCTATTATAAGGACATGTGCACACAAAAATGTTCATTGTGGCACTGTTTACAATAGCAAAGACTTGGAACCAACCCAAATGGCCATCGATGATAGACTGGACAGGGAAAATGTGGCACATATACACCATGGAATACTATGCAGCCATAAAAAACGATGAGTTAGTGTCCTTTGTAGGCACATGGATGAACATGAAAACTATCATTCTCAGCAAACTGACACAAGAACAGAAAATCAAACACTGCATATTCTCACTCATAGGTGGGTGTTGAACAATGAGAACACATGGACACAGGGAGGGGAGCATCACACACTGAGGTCTGTGGGGGAGAACTAGGGGTGGGACAGCGGGGGGTGGAGAGTTGGGAAGGGATAACATGGGGAGGAATGCCAGATATAGGTGATGGGGAGGAAGGCAGCAAACCACATTGCCATATATGTACCTATGCAACAATCCTGCATGTTCTTCACATGTACCCCAAAACCTAAAATGCAATAAAATATTGTTTTTAAAAAAAGATGCCAAGAAAAGGAGAATAAAGAGAAAGAACCTGGGTCCTGGCTGCTATCCCAGGACCCAGCTGAATTAACCACATTTAGAATTGCTTTACTGCTAGACTTGGTTATGTGAAATAATAAACATCTTATTTTCAAAACCAAAAAAGAAAAAAAAATTCTCAAGACTAGGCAATTTACAAAAGGAAGAAGTATAATTGAACTCACAGTTCCACATGGCTGGGGAGGCCTCACGATCATGACAGAAGGCAGAGAGGAGCAAGTCACATCTTTTTTTTTTTTTTTTTTTTTTTTTTTTTGAGACAGAGTCTCACTCCAACACCAGGCACCAGGCTGGAGTGGTGCAGTGGCGTAACCTCGGCTCACTGCAACCTCGACCTCCCGGGTTCAAGCAATTCTCCTGCCTTAGCCTCCCAAGTACCTGGGACTACAGGCACGCGCCACCACACCCAGCTAATTGTTTTGTATTTTTAGTGGAGACAGGGTTTCACCATGTTGGCCAGGATGATCTCGATCTCTTGACCTCATGATCCACCCGCCTCAGCCTCCCAAAGTGCTGGGATTACAGGCGTGAGCCACCGCGCCTGGCCAAGTCACATCTTATGTGGATGCCAGCAGGCAAAGAGAGGACTTGTGCAGGCAAACTCTCATTTTTTTTTTCTAGATGAAATCTCACACTTGTTGCCCAAGCTGGAGTGCAATGGTGCAATCTGGGCTCACTGCAGCCTCCACCTCCTGGGTTCAAGTGATTCTCCTGCCTCAGTCTCCTGAGTAGCTGGGATTACAGGCACCTGCCACCATGCCCAGCTAATTGTATTTTTAGTGGAGACAGGGTTTCACCATGTTGGCCAGGCTGATCTTGAACTCCTGACCTCAGGTGATCCGCCCACCTATCCTCCCAAAGTGCTGGGATTACAGGCATGAGCCACAGCATCCAGCCCAAACTCTCATTTTTTTAAAGCCATCAGATTTCATGAGACTTATTTACTATCACAAGAACAGCATGGGAAAGACCCACCCCCATAATTCAATCACCTTCCACCGGTTACTCCCATGACGTGGAAATTGTGGGAGTTACAACTCAAAATGAGATTTGGATGAGGACACAGCCAAACCATATCACTGCTATCAACATTTGTGTGCAGATTTTTTAATTGGACATAGTTCCATTCTCTAGGATAAATGCCCAGTATGGATTGCTAGGTAGTATGGTGTATATAGTTAACTTTTGGGGTAAATACAAAAGAGTTTTTCAAAGTAGTTACACTATTTTACTTTCGTACTGTCAATGTATGAAAAATTGGGTTGCTCCAAACCTCTGCCAACATTCAAAAAATGTTTTTGTTTTTAGCCATTCTAAGAGATGTATAGTGATATCCCATAGTGGCTTCTTCTGAGGCCTCTTTCCTTGGCTTATTTATGGGACCGTCTCCCCTCTTCACATGGTCTTCTCTCTGTGTGTCTGTGTCCTAACCTCCTCTTCTTATAAGGACATCAATCATCAGTCATATTCAATCAAGGCTCACCCTAACAACCCATTTTAACTTAATTCGCTCTGTAAAAACCTTGACTCCAAATACAGTGGTCTTCTGACATACTGGGGGTGTGGACTTCAATATATGACTATTACAGAGACACCATTTAGCCCATTACAAGATCCTTAATAAATATTTTCTGAATGAATCTATTAAAACACTTTTCTAAATACTTTAAATAATTTTTGATTCAAAAGGCATTCTTTAAATGACAAGTAGCTTGATTTAAATGTTGCATGTGGCACAAGAAGATAACTCATAAGAGATACCATTGTGAGTATATACACCAAATGAAAATAAATAAATAACAATGTTCATGAAGTGGAAGACGGAAGAATACTTACGTGCGATGAACTCTTCACCTTTTAAAAGGGAAGTCAATTGATTCACTTGTTAATATTGATAAATTAAAAATAAAACTATAGAGGAGGGGCTTTGAGATGGCTGACTAGAGGCACTGGACACTAGCCTCCTCCACAAAGAAGAACCAAAATAGCGACTGGATTATCACCCTTCAAACAGAGCGTCTAAGAGAGAATGCTGGAATTCAGCAAAAAAGTGACAGAAAACACCTGAGGTATAAAAAGAGGGGGAGGCGAGTGGGAAAGCCCAACTGGGATCAGCTGGAAGCCCTGAGCAGCTCCCCGGTGTCGGGGAAGGGTCAGAGGGAGCTCTCCAGCAGTTTCACATTCCCATCATGAACTCCTGCAATCCTAGCCACCACCGGAGAGCCCAACTGCCGTGGGCCCTGAGACTGGTATAGAGAGCCCCCTGGAGTCCGTGCTACAACACTGCTCCAGAAAGGGAGCTCATGCGAGGTCCCACACATTTCCCGGAGACCCCGGCAACTGCAGCACGGCACCATTTTGAGAGCCCAGACCCCATAAGACTGCATCCTGCTGGGGTCCAACAGCTCCAGAGCCCCACCGACATCGTCTCATGGCCACCTGGAGCGCCACAGTGACCAACACTTCCTTAATAATCTTAATAAACTCCCCTTTATGTATACATCTATCTAATTAGGTCTGTCCCTCTAGAAAACCCTAACTAGGATGGGTGAGTGCGGGGCGAGCGTTGGGGAAGCCCCGGGCTCCCCTCGCCTGCGGTTGGAGGGAGGGGAAACGCCCCGAAGGGCCGGTCTGGGTAGCCGGCCACCCTGTGGGGTCCACCCCTGTCCTGTGCGCGCGCAGGCTTCCCCGGCCCCGCCGCTGCGCGACCCACCCAAGCGTAGCGCGCGGAATCAGTTCTCACCGTCTTCGGCTCACGGCTTTCTGGTTGACACAGGTGTTTGTCAGGCTGCTGGGCGACCTTTCCCGAAGGAGGCCGTGCCTTCATTCGGGCGCGCCCTGGGCTGGGGAGGCATCTCCCTCGTGCGCAGGAACCGCAGGGGCGAGTAGGAGCAGGTGAGCCCGGGGGAGAGTGGGGTCCCCGCCTCCTGGGAGACTGGGATTTTGGCCTCCTCACCGCGGGACCCCTGACTGTGGAGTGTTAAAGACGGAATAGGACTTAGTGATCTTGTCCAACCCCCTCGCCGTTATTGACAGGTTGGGTAAATGGACGCCTGGAGAACAGAAATCCAGTACCAAAATTGACTCCAGAAGAGAGAACCTAGCGGAACAATAACAATGGAAGAAATTGGGAACATTATCAAAAAGCTATCATCTTGCCAAACTCCAGGCTCAGATGGTGTTACAGGTTAAAAAAAAAGTTCTTGAAAAAGAAAGATCTTAAGCAACATGATGGATTCAGAAGCTCATGAAAAGAGGCCACCAATACTAACACCTTCAAAACAAGATATATCATCTCATATTACAAATGTTGGTGAAATGAAGCATTACTTGTGTGGCTGCTGTGCCGCCTTCAGCAACATCGCAATCACATTTCCCATTCAGAAGGTCCTCCTTCGACAGCAGCTGCATGGCATCAAAACCCGGGAAGCATTACTTCACTTGAGAAAAGATGGATTTCGAAACTTCATTGTGGAATGCTTCCCCCATTGATGCAGAAAACAACTGCACTTACACTTATGTTTGGTCTGTATGAGGATTTATCCTGCCTTCTCCACAAGCATGTCAGGGCTCCAGAGTTTGCAACCCGTGGCATGGCGGCAGTGCTTGCAGGGACAACAGAAGCGATTTTCACTCCGCTGGAAAGAGTTCAGACATTGCATCAAGACCACAAGCATTGTGACAGATTTGCCAACACTTACCAGGCTTTCAAGGCACTGGAATGTCATGGAATTAGAGAGTATTATCTAGACTTGGTGCCCATTCTTTTCCGGAATGGGCTCAGCAATGTCTTTTTTTTCCGGCCTTCGAGGAGGTCCCATTAAGGAGCATCTGCCTACCGCAACGACTCGCAGTGCTCGTTTGGTCAATGATTTTATCTGTGGAGGTCTATTGGGTGCCATGATGGGATTCTTGTTTTATCCAATTAATGTTGTAAAAACTCGCATGCAGTCTCAGATTGGTGGGGAATTTCAGTCTCTCCCCAAGGTTTTCCAAACAGTCTGGCTGGAACGGGACAGAAAACTGATAAACTTTTTCAGAGGTGCCCATCTGAATTACAACTGGTCCCTTATCTCTTGGGGCATAATCAGTGCAACTTATGAGTTCTTGTTAAAGGTTATATGAATAAAAAATCAGTCAAGTGTCATTTATCAACTGAATGGATCTTCTGAGAAGTATGCATTTTGGCCTCTTTCTTAATTGGCAGAATACAAGTTGGTGTCATAACTCCAGGCCACAGTGAGCTATAGACAAAGATATTTTCCCTAAGCATCAACAAAACAGAATAAAAGGTTCCAATAGGAAAATATAAGGGTTTTGTTGGTGGTGGTTTTGTTTTGTTTTTTTATCATCACCTAAGAGCTTTAGGCTGATTGCCTGGCAAATAGCTGTCCATCTGATGGCCTTTGACAGATGGTATTCTTTTTCTCAAACCATTCTTGAAATCTGCATTGAAACATAAGTGGCTGTGACCGGCCAGAGAGAAGGTCCTCAGGGGCAAGGGGCTTCTCAGGCTTACTTTGTTATTCCATTGCTTGCTTCTCTGCCCTCAGAAACAGCTGCAGAGGATAGTCTTCATTAAGCTCAAGCATATGAGAAAGGGGCAGAACAGAGTAGAAAAGCAGCTTATTAGATACAGGCTTTTAATGATAAATTGCTTGTATTAGTTTTGAAACTAAGCACCTATTGGATAGTCATTATAATATTTCTATTTAGATAGGGTAGGTAGATCAAGGAGCTATGAAAGTTCTCATTTTGCCTTCTGGGTTTGAAAATTTTCTGTTTGATTCTGACTGTGGCCTTCAACCCTTCCAAAATATCCTTATGTTAACTTCACTTATTTCATTGCCAAAAGATGAAGGGGCTTAAATTTTGTTATGAGTGTTCCATTCTGTTAAGAAGTTTTCATATTAATTGTATATAGATAAAAGTCTGTTTAGCTTGGTTTCTTTGAATTATTGGTGCTATCTCAGCGGTTACTTTTCCTCTTGAGTAGGAGTTGGTCATTTTCAAGCATCCTGTTCTCTTAAAACTCTCCTTTTAAAAAATAAACACTTCCATAACATTTTGTTTTAGAAGTCTATTAATGCAATCCCACTTTTTTCCCCCTAGTTTCTAAATGTTACAGAGGGGGAAAAAGGCTCAGGATAGTTTTCACCCCACAGTGTTGGCTTTTATTTTACTCTTGGAAATAGAGACTCCATTAGGGTTTTGACATTTTGGGAACCCAGTGTTACCATTGTGTCAGTAAAACAGTAAGACAGTTTGAGAGCACATGATCTAAATAAAGACATTTGAAGGGTTAGTTTGAATTCTAAAAGTAAGTAATAGCCAAATAGCATTCTCATCCCTTAACAGATGAAAACTTCTTCATCAAAGGAATTGTCAATATGAAAATACTTTTTCCAGATAAAGCAAAATGACTCATCTGCCACTTCCAATAGACTAATGAAATATAAGAGACTGACTGAAAAAGTGGATTATGAATCTTAAAACCCTTTCTGTAAATACTACATAGTTAAAGATTGATTTCCAGACGACATGACAGTAGGTTTCCTGCTAGCCAGTTTTTCTTCTTTCTGGGTAATTGCATGTCAATATGTGCACATACTGACCAAAATAAAATCAACTTGGTAGTTTACTTAAAGTTTCTGGGCAAATAGTCCATAAAAGCTGTTTACCTCTAAATGCAGTACGGCTGGCTAAATACAGGGACCATCCTTCTTCCAGCTGTAAAGGATGAAGCATATTAAACATTAGCCAGGCAGTAATGAAGCTAAATAGCCACACAGCAATTCTGTCTGACAATGTTGTGCTGGATATTGTAGTTTACTTTCAAGGTGCAGATGTAAGGATTTAAAAATAATAATAATTTGGCACCAAATAAATATGAGTAGCATTCTTTGGCCTGTTAGAGTCAGGATTTGAAGGGAGTTGCATTTGAGAAATTAATGAATAAAGGCACCTTGGTGCCTGACCCCTTCATTTATATGTGTGACTCTGAGCACTCACAGGCATGTCCAGCTACTCAGCACAGGGCAGGTGGGTTAGCCTGGTGCTATACCTTGACCCTGGGAATAGACACCATTGGGCCTTAGGTTTTATTGGGCTTCCTTTTGTCTTTACACTACGTACAGGTGGTAGAAATCTGAGTTCTAAAGCACTTTTGTGAAATACAAGCTAAGTGAGAATTCTAAGGAAAATACTTTGGTTTCTGCTGTCTCAAATAAGTGGCGTTTAAAAACAATTATTGGGAGGGAGGACTCAAGATGGCGCTGTGAGAACAACCCAGGATTGGAGCTTGCGTTGAATCCGCAAACGGTGAGTCAGAGCTGCATTTACAGACTGATTTTTGTTGCCCACAGAACGGGGAAACTCCCAAGTATAAAAAGACACGGGACGCCAGGCAGTAGGTCTGCCTGGCGAAGCCGGCAGCCGGGGCGGCGGCAGCCGGCCCTACCCAGCAATCCCCACAGGGCGCGCTTGTCCGGGTGCCCTGTTGAACCGCCAACCTGAGACTTGAGAGGGCTGGACTTGAGACTGAACGAGACTTGGACAGTAGCTCAGCCCAGGGGATTGCAGGGACAGATCGTTTGGGATACCCAGTGGGACGAACAAAACCGCGATTTCAAACTATCCCAAGCAGATGGTCCGAGACGCTCTGTGGGGGAGGGGCATCCACCACTACCGAGGCAACCCGCCCCAACTGAGATACACGCCCACTGCTGACGCAGCCTGCCATTGCTGAGGCAACAGGCTACAAAGAAGAGACTCTGCCGCAGGGCGTGGCGGAGACCACAGCAGAGCCTGCAGGAACAGGGTGAATCACACAACAGCAGGGCGGAGCCTCGGCAGCCAAACAGTGGCTAGTCTGCCTTCTAGCTGGGCAGGACACCTCATCGAACATCCAAAAATAAAGCCCAAACCCCTTAACACAGAGCATTTGAGAAAAAAAAAGGGTTTTTTAATGAACTCTGTTGCAGCAGAATCAAACATAGCAGCCTAACAGCCCTGAATGAACAACAGAGTGCACAGCTCAGCAATTAAGCCCGTATAAAGTACAAACTGTCTCCTCAAGCAGCTCCCTGACACCTCTATATCCAAAAGACTGACATTAGGCAGGCATCATCCTGGGACAAAGATAGCAGAAAAAGAAACTGGTAGCATCCCTTGCTGTGCCACAGCTGCTAGAGGTGCACCCCAGACAAGCAGGGTCTGGAGCGGACCTCAGCAGTCGTACAGCAAAGGGGCTAGACTGGTAGAAGGAAAACCAAGCAACAGAAATACTTCATCATCAACATTCCGGGTGTCCACTCAGAGACCCAATCGAAAAGTCAGCAACTACGCAAACGACCAGCGGACAAATCCACAAAGATGGGAAGAAACCAGCGCAAAAAGGAGGAAAACACCCGAAACCAGAACACCTCGCCTCCTAGAAAGGACCAAAACTCCTCACCAGCAAGGGAACAAAGCTGGACAGAGAATGACTGTGACGAAATGACGGAATTAGACTTCAGAAGATGGATAATGAGAAACTTTTGTGAGCTAAAAGATCATGTATTAAATCAATGCAAAGAAACTAAGAACCTTGAAAAGAGATTTGAAAAAAGATTCGAGGAAATGATAACAAGAATGGATAACTTAGAGAGGAATATGAATGAATTAAAGGAGCTGAAAAACACAATACAAGAACTTCGCGAAGCAAACACAAGTTTCAATAGCCGAATTGACCAAGCAGAAGAAAGAATATCTGAAGTCGAAGACCAACTCAATGAAATAAAACGAGAAACCAAAATCAGAGAAAAAAGCACAAAAAGAAATGAACAAAGTCTCCAAGAAATGTGGGACTATGTGAACAGACCTAACCTACGTTTGATAGGTGTACCAGAAGGGGACGAAGAGAATGAATCCAAGCTGGAAAATACTCTTCAGGACATCATCCAGGAAAATTTCCCCCACCTAGCAAGACAGGCCAACACTCAATTGCAGGGAATACAGAGAGCACCACAAAGATATTCCGCAAGAAGAGCAACCCCAAGGCACATAATCGTCAGACTCAACAGGGTTGAAATAAAGGAGAGAATACTAAGGGCAGCCAGAGAGAAAGGTCGGGTCACCCACAAAGGGAAGCCCATCAGACTCACAGCAGATCTCTCGGCAGAAACACTACAAGCCAGAAGAGAGTGGGGGCCAATATTCAACATTCTTAAAGAAAAGAACTTTCAACCCAGAATTTCATATCCAGCCAAACTGAGCTTCATAAGTGAAGGAAAAATAAAATCCTTTGCGAACAAGCAAGTACTCAGAGATTTTGTCACCACCAGGCCTGCTTTACAAGAGCTCCTAAAAGAGGCACTACACATAGAAAGGAACAACCAGTACCAGCCATTCCAAAATCACACTGAATGCTAAAGAGCTTCAACATAATGAAGAATCTACAACAACTAACAGACAAAACAGCCACTTAGCATCAAAATGGCAGTATCAAATTCACACATAACAATATTAACCCTAAATGTAAATGGACTAAATGCACCAATCAAAAGACACAGACTGGCAAATTGGATAAAAATCCAAAATCCATCAGTGTGCTGTATCCAGGAAACCCATCTCACAGGCAAGGATACACAAAGGCTCAAAATAAAGGGATGGAGGAAGATTTACCAAGCTAATGGAAAGCAAAAAAAAGCAGGAGTTGCAATTCTCATCTCTGATAAAATAGACTTTAAAGCAACAAAGATCAAAAGAGACAAAGAAGGCCATTACATAATGGTAAAAGGATCAATACAACAAGAAGAGCTAACGATCCTAAACATATATGGACCCAATGCAGGAGCACCCAGATACATAAGGCAAGTTCTTAATGACTTACAAAAGGACTTAGACTCCCACACAATAATAGTAGGAGACTTTAACACTCCACTGTCAATACTAGACAGATCAACCAGACAGAAAATCAACAAGGATATCCAGGGCTTGAACTCAGAACTGGAGCAAGCAAACCTGATAGACATTTACAGAACTCTCCAACCCAAATCCACAGAATACACATTCTTCCCAGCACCACATCACACCTACTCTAAAATTGACCACATAACTGGAAGTAAAGCACTGCTCAACAAATGCAAAACAACTGAAATCATAACAAACAGCCTCTCAGACCATAGTGCAATCAAGTTAGAACTCAGAATTCAGAAACCGATCCAGAACCGCACAGCTTCATGGAAACTGAACAACTGGCTATTGAATGTTGACTGGGTAAACAACGAAATGAAGGCAGAAATAAAGAAGTTCTTCGAAACCAATGAGAACGAAGACACAACGTGCCAGAACCTCTGGGACACATTTAAAGCAGTCTCTAGAGGAAAGTATATAGCAATAAGTGCCCATATGAGGAGAATGGAGAGATCCAAAATTGACACCCTATCGTCAAAATTGAAAGAGCTGGAGGAGCAAGATCAAAAAAACTCAAAACCCAGCAGAAGACAAGAAATAACTAAGATCAGAGCTGAGCTGAAGGAGATTGAGACACAAAAAACACTTCAAAAAATCAATAAATCCAAGAGCTCGTTCTTTGAAAAGATCAACAAAATAGACAGACCACTAGCCAGATTGGTTAAAAAGAAAAGAGAGAACAACCAAATAGATGCAATAAAAAATGATAAAGGGGAAATTACCACAGATTCCACAGAAATTCAAACCATCATCAGAGAATATTACAAACAACTCTATGCGCATAAACTAGTAAACCTGGAAGAAATGGATAAATTCCTGGACTCCTGTGTCCTCCCAAGCCTAAACCAGGAGGAAGCTGAAACTATGAATAGACCAATAACAAGGTCTGAAGTTGAGGCAGCAATTAAGAGCCTACCACACAAAAAAAGCCCAGGTCCAGATGGGTTCACAGCCGAATTCTACCAGACACACAAGGAGGAGCTGGTACCATTCCTTCTAAAACTATTTCAAACAATCCAAAAAGAGGGAATCCTTCCCTAATCATTTTATGAGACCAACATCATCCTGATACCAAAACCCGGCAGAGACCCAACGAGAAAAGAAAACTTCAGGCCAATATCCATGATGAACATAGATGCAAAAATCTTCAATAAAATATTGGCAAGCCGATTGCAACAGCAAATCAAAAACCTTATTCATCATGATCAAGTAGGATTCATCCCGGGGATGCAAGGCTGGTTCAACATACGCAAGTCTATCAACGTAATTCACCACATAAACAGAACCAAAAACAAAAACCACATAATTATCTCAATTGACGCAGAGAAGGCATTTGACAAAATTCAACAGCCCTTTATGCTAAAAACCCTCAATAAACTCGGTATCGATGGAACGTATCTCAAAGTAATAAAAGCTATTTATGACAAACCAACAGCCGATATCATACTTAATGGGCAAAAACTGGAAGCATTCCCTTTGAAATCTGGCACTAGACAAGGATGCCCTCTCTCACCACTCCTATTCAATATAGTACTGGAAGTTCTAGCCAGAGCAATCAGGCAAGAAAAAGAAATCAAGGGTATTCAAATAGGAAAGGTGGAAGCCAAATTGTCTCTATTTGCAGACGACTTGATAGTATACCTAGAAGACCCCATCGCCTCAGCCCAAAATCTCCTGAAACTGATAAGCAACTTCAGCAAAGTCTCAGGATATAAAATCAATGTGCAAAAATCACAAGCATTCATCTACACCAATAACAGACTTAAAGAAAGCCAAATCAAGAGCGAACTGCCATTCGCTATTGCTACAAAAAGAATAAAATACCTTGGAATACAACTCACAAGGAACGTAAGAGACCTCTTCAAGGAGAACTACAAACCACTGCTCAACGAAATCAGAGAGGACACAAACAGATGGAGAAACATTCCATGTTCATGGTTAGGAAGAATTAACATCGTGAAAATGGCTATACTGCCCAAAGTAATTTACAGAATCAACGCTATCCCCATCAAGCTACCATTGACTTTCTTCACAGAA